CATGTTAAATTTCTGTAGCAAATGATGTAGTTAAAACTCACTGTCCTGCTGCCTTCATTATCAGGGCGATGGGCAGTTATCGTCCTGATAATGGAGGCAGAAATTACGTATGAAACGTCGGTAAACTTCTACCAGACCGTACGGCGCAATATCCAAGGAGACAGACATTTTCACACTTGTCTCCGTGGGAACCTGAAATCTTACCACAAATCTGTGGTTGTGTCCGGAGTTCTAGTGTTTTGCTTCATTGCTAACTCATTCGGTAGATGAATAGTTGTCTAATAACCTTCTAATTAAACAACCACAGTGGGCACTTACCTGATCGATGTCAAGAATTTGTTGGGCATTGAGGTCGGGGCACACGCTCGAGTCCTCCCTGTTAAGGGGCGCCGTCTGAGATCCGACAAGGAACATCACTAAAGTGCCCAGTCCAACCCAATACGCCATACTGTCCTCGCGTAGTCGATCTTAACACAGTAACCACTTACACAAACGTCTTACTTTCAAAACTGAGGTAAAACATCTGAGCGACTGACGAATGTCTTAACTTTGACGTCAGTTTGAATTTGTACCTGGAGTACACCAAGAGAAAATACACCCTTGTTCCTGAGAATCTTCTTCAGTCAGGCCAACAACTTAACGTCTTAGCCAACGAAGTCACCTATGTCTTACAGACTAACGCTTTAATAAACTCGCACTCACAATTGAAGGTAGAGTTTTTCCCAAAATGCTAGAAAAAATACTATATACTTAGTTCTTTTGAAGAGAAACACTTTTTTTTTTAAAAAAAAGATTTTAGCTCAAATCCAGACGTTGATAAATGCCTTATTTATTCACTTGTAGTTAACATTAGAAATAAAAACATTAACTCCAAAGTCGGTTTTCGAAGCAGTGTCTTCCATTTGTACGTCACTTGCACAAGATTCTATGAAATAATATTTTCAAAACTGATTTCGATGTCTGCTTTCATTTGTAGCGCATAATGAAGATGACCATAGAAGAATTTTCAGACGGACCTCACCGAGGTCTAGGCCCGTGTTTAACTGTCACCCTCTTGTAATATTAACGGGGTTTTTTTTCGGGCTGCAACGTTGAGTTTTTCCTCTCTTGAGGTGAGACACTGATTCCGCTCGGTCTAGGCCAGCAGTCGTTCGCTCTGGTCGGCTTCAGCTGTTTGCTGGTGCCGAGGGAGAATCGTGGAGTTGAACTAATTACACATGAATTGAGATCAATTTACTGTGACGTCAGAATGCTACTTCTTACAAGGGCGGAGATGTTTCGGTATGCCACACAATGATTTGTTACACATTTAAAGACCTGAATGCCAACATGTCGATTCTAAACACTACAAATCGTTACTTTTCCTGGTGTTGTGACTCAATGTTTGTTAAATCACAGAAACGGACACGAAATCTGAAAGCGGCCATTTCTTTCTGTACATTTATACAGCTCGTGTAAGATGTAGCATTTTTATTTTTTTAGTGTTCTGTCTGACGACAGGTCCATATGAACAGGATCCTTCCATCCTTTTCTCGGACTGGGACCTGTTCATATACGTTCTTGGCAGATGATCCAGAAGGGGTTTGCCATTGCCTTCTTCTGTGTGAGTGTGAATGGAGTAATTGTTGGGATGCCACGGACGAAAACTCCGTGTTGCCTAGACCACCTCATCTTATTATTATTTAGTGTTCTGTCTGACGACAGGTCCATATGAACAAGATCCTTCCATCCTTTTCTCGGACTAAAAAAAACACGAATAATTAAATTTTAATTCACAATATGACGCAATTATATCAACTAATTAATTATTCATTCACTCTTAGTAGGATTTGAGGTTCTTAAGGTAGTGAGTACGTAGACGGCAATTTTCTGGGCTGTAGCACCGTGAATTCTGGTAGAAGGGCAATGAGTTGAAACAGCAGCAGGAACTTCTGAGAAGATATCAGACTTTTATATAACCCAGAAGGTAGCCTTCTTTTAAATCACACTTGTTTTATGAAGGCGTGGTGTCAGAAGAAATACTTAGTTATCCCGTAATGGGTAAAGAAACCAGATAGTTACGTATCTTCTAAACATATCAAATCGATAGTTTTATCGACAACTTTATACGATATTAATTAAACAATTTTAGTCCGTGAACATACGTCTATACGGAGATCCTGTATGTTGTGAATAGTTTATTTTTAAGCTTGCACGACATACGAAATTGAAATGAAGTTGGATGGAAATGTGCCAATGATTATGTTTCCAGTAAAAATATTTTCAGAATGCTGCGTAGAGTAGAACCTCATTTAACCCATTAATGTAGATAACATTTTACTTACTACTCTAATGCTAAGTGTTAATCACTCTGTCACCGACGGTCAGAATTTACCATTTCAAGCTGCATAGTGGCCACCATCACCATTTTGTTAAGTGTTTATTTTTTTATTTTATTTATTTAGTGTTCTGTGTGACGACAGGTCCATATGAACAGGATTCTTCCATCCTTTTCTCGGACTGGGATCTGTTCATATACGTTCTTGGCAGATGATCCAGAAGTGGTTTGCCATTGCCTTCTTCTGTGTGTGAATGGAGTAATTGTTGGGATGCCACGGAGGAAAACTCCGCGTTGCCTAGACCACGGCCTTGCCCAACACAAGTTATAAATTCGGGCACCGCCGGGAATCGAACCCGAGGACCTCAGGATTACAAGGCCAGCGTTCTAACCGCAAGACCACCGTGGCTAGTTAGATGTAGCATGGAATATAAAATGTCCACTAGCCTGTACACTTCTAAATATTTTCATTCTTTGGGGATTGTACAAAAAATACATTTCTACTTTCGATGTCTGCCTTTGTCTCTGAAGTGCCTCTTTCTTTGGGCGGACAAAACATTGAAGACGAAAAGGAAGTCTCTTCGTCGTCGATGACCTGTCTCAGAAAAAGAAAAGTGAAAAGGTTAGTCTCTGTAACGACTGCTGTCACTTTCAGCTCGTACGAAGCCACTCGAACGCGACTACCTTTTTTCATAATCTCATTACGAAGCGAAAAGGAGATGTTCTGTTGGAAAGATGTTTGACCTATGAATCTTAATGGGGGGAGCGATTTTAAAATATTACGAAGTTTGGAAAAGTTATTTCAGGTCCGCTAATTTACTGCTCGTATGTTCGACGGAACCAGAGATCCTGTGAAGACAACTTTCGTACTTGATGGTTACTTCACGATTTAGTGTAAAAATACCTGGTCTGAGTCTGGGCTGTTCTGTTCAGGGCTTTTGTGGTTCCTTTTCGCCACCACCAGACAGAAGCACATTTGCACAAAAAGGATTGCTTTCTGCTGTGTCTTGCTTGGATATTGCGTCATTGTAGTGGCTTTACTCTTTTCGCCGGTCTTATGGTTTTGTAATCTTATGAGTTCTTTTATTTTGAGTGTGGTGTGTTGTTTTGTTGTCTCATTGTTTTGTTGTGTCATGTTTTTTGTGTCTTATTGTTTTTGTTGTCTCATTGTTTTTGTTGTCTCATTGTTTTTGTTGTCTCATTGTTTTTGTTGTCTCATTGTTTTTGTTGTCTCATTGTTTTTGTTGTCTCATTGTTTTTGTTGTCTCATTGTTTTTGTTGTCTCATTGTTTTTGTTGTCTCATTGTTTTTGTTGTCTCATTGTTTTTGTTGTCTCATTGTTTTTGTTGTCTCATTGTTTTTGTTGTCTCATTGTTTTTGTTGTCTCATTGTTTTTGTTGTCTCATTGTTTTTGTTGTCTCATTGTTTTTGTTGTCTCATTGTTTTTGTTGTCTCATTGTTTTTGTTGTCTCATTGTTTTTGTTGTCTCATTGTTTTTGTTGTCTCATTGTTTTGTTGTGTCTTATTGTAGGACCACTTCCACCGGGTAAAAACCCATTTGCAGTTAATAATAAATAATAAGACAGACTTATCTCTCATCTCTGTCCCCGAAACGTCGGCGATTTTTAGTCAACCGACGTTGCTAATAGACCGATAACATTTTTCACGCACAACCACGTGATGAATGTACCCACACATTGTTTTGTCCCACCGCCTACTAAAAAGACGTCAACATCCATTTTGTTCTGCCCGTCTACACAATCTTCCATGCTGTCATCTGAGAGTTTCTATGACATTGTGTATTTATGCTTTCGACAGACAAATTAAAATCGCTGTAAACAAGAAACTGTTGTGTTTCATTTAATTAAAGTACCTCATTGTTTTATTGGATTTTCCCAATGGCGCGTTCGAAAGCAAAGTCAACTAACAGCGGTAATTAAGCGTCTCCCTCTGAAATTATTCTGAACAGGAAATGCACCAGACAAATGTATATTTATGGAGACTTGACAATGGGTTTCGTTGAAACGTATTATGATTAGTCCAACTGCGAGCGGCTCCTGTGGGTTCGCCTACACGAAATTCAATGAGAATGTTCTGCTTTAGATCCGTCCTAACTGATTCATCTGCTTTCTTGAAGTTCGTAAAAAAAGCCAATGTACTGTCCCGTTGTAATCCTACTATTTCTGTAGAATACGATGAACGCGCAGCTTTCCACCTACAGTTTAATTCTTAAGTCGAATTCCGTCTCGTTTATCCGAAACAATTTCGTCTATTGCTGCACGGAAATACGCTCCGCGTTGTTCTACTCGACGTCATCCGGACGCTAAAGCGTCTCCGTGAGAAGGAATGTCTAACACGTGATGGATGCAGGTCGCCCACGGACTGTACGGACGCCATACTTGAATCTCAGGAACGAGAGCCTGGATAAAATCACGCGATATGACACGACTTTTGGGAATTGACCTCGACGTAATTTCATGGCCGCCATTTTAGGGGTGTTCGAGTAATGCCGAATGGCGACGTGTATCATGAAAACTGGACTTCACAGGGTATATTTTGTGTAATATTTACAGCTAGTTTTTTTTTTTAAACGAGGAATCACGCTGTGTGTGAATTTAATTTAATAACGTTAACAGAAGAAATAAAGCATACGAGTCCTTCTCTGGAATATTTCTCATTCCAGCGTGTGCCAAACGTATCTCTGGAGAACTTTCGAGCCACAAAAAAAAAAATCCAGCGGAACTCCAGACCAACAACCAAAACTGCAAATGGAAGAGGAACGAGAATTATGGGATATTATTACGAAACATAAGTGAGAATCATAAGGAAATTAAAACGCGTGGCTGTGGCTCAGTTCTTGGAACTCTCATTGAAAATTCGACGAGTCTTTGACTCTGGGTAATAGATTTCATTTCATCGTCAAGAATAATGGCATTTCGCCACCAAGAAATATCTTAAGGCCAGACATAACCCAAACACGAATAGCATATTTTTCCTACATGCTACACATTTCAAATGTAATTACGTTTTCAAATTCGGAATTTCCCTTCTCTGAAAAAATGTTTCGTACTGTCTATAATTATTGAAAACCTTTGCTTTCATTGTATTTCATCACAACTGCAGCTTCAAAGATTACAAATAAATGAATGAAGTCAAAACTTTGTAATTTTAGTAAAATATTGTATAATTAAGATGTCCATAACGTGGAGGCTGCTTCTTATCATCAAAATCAAGGAAAATAAGATGGCTGGGAAGTGTACATGCTATGCACAGGGGATATGAAAAATTTATACAAAACTTTAATCAGAAATCTTGAAGGAAGAAAAACACATGGGAGACCTTATCATAGATGATAGAATAGTATCGAAATATATGGATATATCTCGTTTTTGTTCACTTAAAACTTAATGCTTTGGCGCAGAACGTAATTATTTTATCATCTGAGCATCGTTGAACACCCATTCACCTGTTCAGTTTGTTATAGGAGATTTTTTTCAAAGCGACGGAAACGTGAAGTTAATCAGTGACCTCCATCTAGTGTCGATATTCAGGATTAGGGTCGCCTTAAGGCAATGGAGGGCCCATGGCAAAATAAGATCTCCTCCACCCTACTTTTCAAAATAATAGGCTTTATAATTGATATGTGCAAAAACATTTGTTTGTATTAATAAAGGATAAGACGATAGGATGATATTAAAATGCATAATACAAAAATTAATTTGATGCTGAATAACGAAGACAAAGTTAACTTTTTTAAATACGCAACGGGATTATTTTCGTGTTTCTCGTTGTCGCTCCAACGAAAGAGGAGCTCTTCAGGAAGACCATGTTTAATTTGCCCCTCGGTATGGTCCAAAGCCCGTTGTTTTACGTATGAATTTATGTGGTTACGTGCGGAATTATATTTTTATGGAATAGGAATATAAGATTCTGGACTTTGTACTTGAGAAAGACAGACCTCATCAGATCTTCTTAATCGGAAATATGTCTCGTTCCCCTGATACCACTCGTCTTGCTGTCCGCGTGTGGAGTACGGGATCACGCCCTCGTGAGTCTTGTTGCGGAGGCGAGCAGGTACACGGCAAAAATATCGGCAACATTCAGAAATATAAGATAAGAGTTCTACCTTCTGCAAGTCCCTGAAGATGGAAGCAGTATATCTCTCCGAAACAACATCGACGTATTTACCGCATCACTCCAAGCCTCAGGTCTCATACAGTCTGTAATTTTTTTTAATGTAATCAGATTCGTTTTAAACTAGAGGTCCTGAAGAAAAAGTGAGCATTGGCCGAATTCAGTTAGGCTGGTGATATTTTGATGATTTGCGTGTGTTCTACGAAAGATGTGTAGTTAATAGTTTTGGTCGCTGGGTGTGTAAGACACTAGCAAAGTTATTTTTAATAACCTGATAGTTAGTAAGATAATAAAGAAATTTCAGGGTTTTTATGGAGCTAGTAGATTCATTGCCGTCCTCACAAAAGCCTTACAACATGCTACTGACTTTGAGCCTACAGCCAAAAGAAATATTCATCTTCCTTCGTCCTGTCGAGGAAGAATTTTAGCTTCTCCTGTCAACAGACTGCAATATCCACCCACTGCAAAGCATCACACAACATAAATAACATCGCGATGAGACACCATTTAGGCCTGTCAGTGAGTACACATGGAACTCATTATCGGAGAAGCAGTTAGGATTGCTCTCCGCTCGGACACTCAGATCAGTGATAACGTAAACTTGTCTGGCGTCTGTGAACTGAAGGAGAAAACTAAGCCAGCCACTCACGTCTCTAGATGCTTCTGCAAGGATCGTTTCTCAGCTCACATCCACTGTTGTCACTTCTTCCCTGAAGATTGAGGCATCGGGATCCTCGGAAATATTGAAACGTTTCCACTATCGTACAAGGTATTACAATCCTAAACTTTAACAACAGTTAAGAAATTTGTAATGAAACTTGATATTTTAACATTGGTTTTTATATTAATTACCTTCGTATGTCTGGATGGAGTGAGGAACATAACTAGACCCTCTAAATGAGCCAATATCTCCCGATAACCAAAATTGTTTTTTTACTTAGCCGTTCTCGTAAATGAAGTTCGCTGAGTAGATAATTTATAAATTTTAAATACAACGTTTTTGAAGCTTGATTCTCCTTTCTTCAGGTAAAAATGGTTTAAAAGGGCAGAGACCCTCGTTCAAATGTGAGGCTAGTTCGACCAGGGGGGGGACCACCAAATAGGTTTTCTGTCCTGAAACAGAATCCAGCTTCCGAAATATAATTTTATTATTTTGTAACTAAGATTATGGGCGATGCTGAAGAAATCAGTTTTAAAGATTGTAATGTACCATCGCCAGAGAACGTTGACGTCATTCAAGGTAGAGCACTTTTTCACAAGCTGACAGTTGCTCGCCTTAGCCAAAAAACTCCTCAACTCTTAATGTTGAACCGATGGTTCGTAGGAGCCCGTTACTGAAGTCTGATGTGAGATGAATCCAGTCAACTCCCACAAACGATATTTATCTGACGTCCATTTAATGTCATTTTTAACACACACGTACTTGGGGGTCTTCCAAATTTTATCATTACTTAAGCTCTTACAGTATCTGTATAATAATATATAATTGTTTAATTTTAACCGTCTAATCACAATAAAATATTTTATTAAATATTAAAATATTATTACTACAATTAACATTCAATATTTAAAATATATTAAAATATATTAAAATGATGCTCTTTCTATCGAAATATTCGATTTACAATTAGAGCATCATATTTTTCACGACATGTTTCGGTTTTAAATGAACCATCTTCAGGTGTATAATCGATATAAATTTAAATGTAATATTCTAAATGCAATCCTTCGTCAGATGTCCATTAAATATCAGTTATCATCTCAATAATATATAAATAAAATAATTAAAGTCTAAAAATTAGATTATATTAAACTTATTTAGCGTTCTGTCTGTTATCCTCAAGGTCGATTGTTACGGACGGACATGTTAAGTTCTCTTTCGGAACCTCGAAAGACAACTGCTTATGAGTTTGTTAAATTATTTTAGCAGTGTATGTCTTACTTTCCTATAACAAGCAGGTCTCGAGGGATTTAGTGCACGAGGCAAAGTTTTGTTTGAAATGCACTGATATAAAAGTCAGGACCAGAAGTAAGTTTCTTCATTCACTGCAATGCGGTTATCGATCTGCTGTTGTTTTCTGCTTGTGACCACGGGATGGGGAGCCCAAGTTCTGCAACAACTCCTACCGCCAGGTCATCCCTGCACCGAGTTCAGCTACCGACAACATCTGGACATCAACACGGTACTGGACCTTCTGTGTCATTACATACCAGACTCTAATTCATGTTCCTGAAGTTTAAAACACACACACATTTGTTGACTTTGTGTCAGTAGTTCGGGATGTGTTTTTACGATATCATTTCCGGTCAGAAACGTCATTTGAATACGAACCTATTCACATAGGTTTTTGGAGATATTAATATTTGAAATTAAAATGATTTTAAACTTTATATTAACAGCATCCACCATCGAAGATTCAATCAAAGTAGTTTATATTTATACACCTTGTTTCCATGTGAGCACATACTTTGAAATCAAGCAGGGTGAGGTCAGGTGATCGTGTTGGCCAACTCTGCGAATCACCACTGTAAATCTGTCGGTCAAAGAATTGTTTATTCATTGTACTTTGCCACGTATCTGTTAAAATGTTGGAGTGCCCATTATGGTGTAAGTACATCGGGTTTCATATCTGTTCGAATTATTTTGAATTTCAATCATGAGTAGCTCCTCAACCGCTGAGAACCGGACATGTGTTCGTGTGTCATTTATGAGTAGAAATTATCGCATTAAATAGACACGACAAAACGTTACAAGATTTTAAATAAGAAAAAAAATTATTAATGACGTCATAATTTACGATTCTGTTGAAATCGAATTCAGAGCGGAATGTTGGGCTTCACAGCTGATACTGTACTGACTCTTACTAATTATCACTGATTGTAATTTACGGGTGCGTCTGTACCAGATAACATTTTTGTTGTTACTATTATAAATTGTTTTGTTATACATACCTGTCAGCGGCTAATATTATATAGCATTGGATGATTAATGAATAATGAATTGGAGAGGATATGAAAGGAAAAAGTCGTGATCTTATTTTGAGATTTTGTCCCGGAAATATCTTAGACTCGTGAAAGTATCAGCCATTGTAACTGGTCTTCGGTCCGGGACCTCCCAAATACGAAACAGGGGTAATAATTAAATAAAGTTTAAAAATCAATAACGATATTTTGCCCACAGATTGTATTTGTGGTGTAGAATCCCTGAGATAATTTCTTTAAACAGCATTGACCTTCAGATCTTTGTAACGGAATTGGTTTCGAAGTTTAAAGTTCCATGCTTCTCATGCAGACCTACCAATCTAAATTCATCAGAATTACCTCCATGCTGTGGAGACTGATTTATTACTTAACTTTCCAAATATTTGGATACTGGGGACGACCTGTTCTTCAAGTGCCTGAGCACTGCGGGTCCCAAATTTTCATTGTCTCGATCTATAGACATTCTCCTGAAGAAGTGCCTTGATACTACGTGCGAACTCCTCATTCTACTTTCGCCTTGCGCTGTGTTCGACGCCGTCCAGGTCCAGGGCACGTGGTACGTGCTTGTCATTATCTGCTCCAGCTGGAACCGCGTGCCGCTGTGTGACAAGGTGGAACTTCACGGCAACAGCACCCTGCTGCACGAGACGTGGACCAGCCTCGACCTCCTTTCGGATCCTCACTACCGCCACGGTGCAGTTTACAGCACTGACCTGGCCGTGGTTGAGCCGGGCTGCTGGAAGGACCTCAGACCCGAAAGAGGTAACTGAAGTTCTTGTACTCGTCTTGATTTGAATTCAGAACAGGATTGACAGGGTTGTGTTGTTGGCATTCGTCTGCAAGGCCGTGATGAACGTTGAGATGCAAGATTTGATTGTCTGTAAGGACATGCAAGGATTATTCAGAAGGAAATAACATTTTAGTGAGGGTTCCCGTATTATGATATTCTGAACTATTCAGTGATGAAAGCAAGGATGGACAGGATAAGAAGCTTGCATAAGGGAGATAAGAATTGGAAAGCATGATGAAAAGATTACTGCTTCGAAGACTTAGATAAGAGGGTTATATTATGATATGTCTGAAAAAATATGACGTGAAGTTGTGTGGACTTGATTTGACCTGTTCAGGAGAAACGCAGGTAATTTCATGATTTTATCAGGTGAGTAACAACCAGTTTCTCGGGGAGGAGAAAATGTCATTGAATTGGTTTCTGAGAAAATGAATATTTATGGTACATTTTCACACACAATAAAAATCAGTGGGGAAGTTTTATTTTACCACTCCTGACAATTGGTACTACTACGGACATCCAGAGAGTTGTCACTGACAGAATCTGCTCAGTCCTCGAAATATTCCAAACTATGCCAATTAAAAAGACTTAAAATGCTGATTTCTCCTTAGAACCCTGTCCTTGTGCTATTAAGAACAGCATCTGCGATTTTAACTCGTGCTTTGAGTTCGGTAAATCTCGGCTCAGGTCACAGTTGACATTTTCCATGCAAATGTCAGGATCGTGTCTTGTGATCCAGCTCATCCTGTGACCCTGGTCCTGGACGCGGACGAGCTGCTGGTTCTGGCGCAATGCTATCAGGGGGACTACGCCACGCCGTATCATGACCACGAAGTGTTTATCCTGGGGCGAAACACGAAGGGCCACCTGCTGGACCAAACTCTCAGCAAGCTGGCCGCCAATGGCCTGGACACCAGACAGGCCCAGGTACTTCAGTGGTCCATGTGTCCGAACCACTAAGTCACCGGGTCACGTCAACGCACACCACACGCATTCCTGGAATATCTAATGTTAGAGATATGGATGTGACCTTGTATCGCCTGAGAGAGCAAAATATCGAAACAAGGTTTTTGTCATACGCTCACAGAGAATAAAAACGTTCATATATAAGTCTTCTTACATGTACGGTTTGTATATTAATGTTGCGTTCATTAATAATCAATGATATTATATTTGATCGTGTACGAAGTAATCTACCAAGTACTGGGGGATTCATCGTCTGTATTTTTCATATTACAATCTTAAGATTCTTTTAACTTTTGTGGCTGGCCAACTAGACAATACATCTGACTTATTTTACAAAGGATTTTGAAGAAAAACTGATATTTTGCCTATATTACAGTTACTCGATTAATTTTACACCTGATGATGGTTTAATAAAACCGAAACATGTTGTAACTGTTCCAATTGTAAATCGATTATTCGATATGGAACACAGAATGATATTTTAATTATTTTAATTATCTTATTTTAAATACATTGTGATTTGACGGAATAACCAAATAATTTAATTTTAATTTAATAAATCACAATATGACGCAACTACACTATTTTATCGATTATAAATATCGATTGTTTGTAGCACACCATTAATAAACTGTGAGTTATTTGCTTCAAATTGAATTTTACGTATTAATAACACGTAACTCCTTATTAAAACTGGGTCACAGTTTTGTGTTAATTCAATCGTCAACCGTCTTAAGAAAGGAAGTCAGCTTTAAATAGAAATCAAACAAAAAATATCCAGAGTTTACTTTTTCCACAAATGCGTCTAGAGTAGCTTATGTGAGTTATAATAATCTGTTTGGATTTTGGATGTTTTATTTGTTTCCGGAAACACTTAAAAATTCTGTCGGTACCCCAAATCCCAAATTTGTGTTAACTGTGTCCGTAGGATAACACAGTGGCACATGTTCACACTGCCTGCGTAAGGGAGAGTCCTACACACAGATGTCCCTGACTTCGCACATTAAGTAAAATTTCCGTATTATTTTGTGCTAGATGTTCGATCGGCCAGTAAAGTTCTTAAACCCCATCTTAGACCTTGTCCCTGGGTAAAAACGTTTGTAGTTTCCTGCTACTTATCTTTCCATAAGGCCTGTATATACAGGATGATTCAAAAAGTTAGGACCAAACTGAAGGAGCGTATCCTGAGTCAGTCGAGGCCATTGAAGGTAGGGAAGTGTCACTACTGACTTCGGAAGACATGGATTCCTATTCGAAAGTTGTTCTACTCACTGAGTCCCTCTATACGCTCCTTCAGTGTGGCCCTAACTTTTTGAATCACCCTGTATATCAAGCCACTTGGTTCTCGCGCTGATGGTTACTATAAGGACTCATGGCGTGTGATCAGGAATGAGTATAAGGAAAGTGTTAATTTTAAAGCTACATAAAATTATATTCTACCGTGTTCGGTTTTCCAAAGATTTTTTGGAGCGTCAGGATTTTAAATGACTCAGTCCATGCGCCCACGAAACATACAGAAAGTAATATTTTTTTCTTTAAGTTACATAATTACTTGATAGGTTTCTATGAAATTTGGTACTGGCTGTTTACATAAAGGTTGTAGGGTCAATTTAATGTTAATTTAAATTGGTCCGATGTTACTTGTAATTTAAATAAAGCTAAATTGTATCTTAATTTTTTTAAACCTTCTAATTGTATGGAAAATATAGTATACAGCCTATGGTATAGCGTTTATGTTTGATTTGAAATTAATTTAGATGTAGTTAATATTAATTAATAATAAGGAAAAGTTTTAAAATCAGATTTGAGCTTTACTCGACCAAAAATAGGTCACGACTGACCGAAATGAAACGCTGTAAACCAAAATTGTCAGAATCCGTCCAGTAGTTTTGGTGATGCAATCTTCAGAGTGGTAAACGCAGTATTTATGAAAAATTTTATGGAAAAATTTCACGTTGAATTTCACGCCCTAAAAGTTCAGTTTTCATGTTATCATCGTGGATTGTTACAGAGCATTTGCCGCATTTAAAGTCATGTAATTCGTGTTACCAGAACAAATGTCTGGATTCAGATACGAGTGGACCTCACAGGAGCGTAGCAAGTGTTCACCGAATTAATATCGTAAACCAAATATATTAACGTTTACGTGAGAATCATTTAATTGTAATACATGTAATAACCATCAGAGAACCAACACCTTGATTTTCCGAATGACTGTTAAAATATACATTAATGGTAGATCTTCAGTGTTTTATTCTTACATGATAAAGCTCTATTTTAGCATAAATCAAATGAAGAGGATGTGACTTTGTGATTGTATAATCATCACAGGTCTTTAGAACACTTTTATACTTCCGGATTTTATGTAATCCGAAACTTTCACGTGTAAATTACGATGGAGATGAAACTTCTATTAGGAATTAAGAATATTTATTATGTAAATCTTAGTTACTTATGTTCAGTAGAACACCTAAGAGCCTAGAAATAAATTCAGAAAAACTAATTTCATGTTAGTATCTCGTCATCAGAAGACAGACAGAATTATCTTGGGGTGGCTAATAAATCCTTTGAAAGGGTTACAAAGTTCAAATATCTGGGAACAACAACAAATCAAAATGATACTCGTGAGGAAGTTAGGAGGAGATTAAATTCTGGAAATGCTTGCTACTTCTCAGTTCAAAATATTTTGTCTTCCCGTCTGATTTCTAAGAACCTGAAAATTAAAGTATACAAAACAATAAT